GGGAAAACATGGGGGGTTGGGGATGAGGGATGAGTCTGGCTTATGGATGGGGGTTGAGGTAAGGGCAATATTTTGTGTGTGTGTGTGAGGGTCAATGAGGGGAGGCATTGGAGCTACATCCACACTAATGTGTTTTGCCAGTGAGTCCCTTTAAAATAGGTCACATATTAAATATTAAATATTCATCCATAACTCATGTCCAGACAATACGCTAGTTTAACCCAAGCCCTTTATCGGCTTTGCTCTGTTTAAACCCCTACACACACACACACATACACACACACATACATACACACGCACAGACACACAAAGCTATAGTGGGGACTTTTGATCCCTCCATGAGGAAGCGTGTCCCATCAAAATTCAAAACCTCCCAGTAATCCCTAACACTCACATGCCACTGTCAGGAGCAGGTACAGTAGTTTGTCATATTGCAAAACAAATAAGGACACACACACACATACACACATAAGGACGCAGTCTATTTCAGTTTGACAGCTCAGCTCTGACACACAAATGTCAGCTCTCTGATGAATGACTCATAAGCTCCTTCCTTATTGGCTTGCAAAGGGGGTGCGCTGGACTCCAAATTTCTGGTGCTATCCAATCTGATCAGAGCCTCCGCAGGCTCGAGCAACTCGACAGTAAAGGACGTGACCCACTGCAGAGGGAACAGCACAGTTTAGTTTGATAACCACTGAGGAGGTCGCCCTAGTGTATGTGTACCTGCAGCAGTGGAGCAAACTTTAAACCATTAATAGTCTAAAACCACAGAGCAGCAAAGAAAGCAAGTCAGACTATATGCGATATGGCAGATATATCGTGTGTGTGTGTCTGTGTCTGTGTGTGTGTGTGTAAAAATAGAAATCATGTGACTGAGCTCTCTTTAAGTGGATACAAGCTGAGCTCTTTAAACTTCTCATCACTAATCCACAGTCAGTGTGCCCTCACACTCTCTATCTGAGTCACCTCTCCTCTGTGAACACGTGTGTGTGTGCACAGTTATGCACGTGTGTGTACCTGTCTTGCTACTTTGCGTGCTTCCCAGTACGGTTTGGAGTCATCCACAGCTCGTCCAATCCTCTTCACCTGCTCGTCCAGCTTCACCGTTGCTTCCACCAGCACAGCGCGAAACCGCTGACGACAGTCCTACACAGATATACACACATATGAGATTATGAAGTTATCGGACATTGTTAGCCTGAATCTATGTGTTGTATGTATTGTGTTGTGTTTGTTGGCTGCAGGGTCTGTATTGCAACATTCACTATCAGGTTGCTCAAAGAGGTAGGAATCATTTGACAAGCCCTACACCAGCCCATAAAAGGGACCCCAGAATGCTGCGATGGCTATGGATCAGGAGGAAAGACCCCAACTGGGCCCCAAGATGTTAGGGACACACACCCAGGTCTGATAAGCCTGTGGTTGGCCGGCCTTAAAAGAGGGTGTCTTGTAACTAAAGGCCGAAACACACAGAGATGCTACCGTACAAAACTGATGATATGGTTGGATTGAACCATGGTCCCTCTGTGAGTTATGTCTCCCTCAGTAAATGTATTGATCCCTTAGATTTTCACCTAAAACCATCATGAGGTCTAAATTTGAATTTGTCCAATAGTTTTATTTGGTTCATGATCAATTACCTGCAAATCCAATGCCATTTCAATTGTACTTCGTGTTAAGTGCTGATTAGTCAATGCTAACATCCTAACAAGCCAAACTCAGGGTGTGAACATGTTGCATAGACTCTGCAAGGTGTGCATCATGTCATAGTTGCTAGCATGGCTATAGACCCTTGTTATCCTGCATCCAGTTCAAACAATTAACAAATCAGTGTTGGCCATTTTCCCAGTGCAATCTCTCCTGTGTTTAACGGTTTAAGCATCATCCACAGGTCTGCGTGCCATGTGGCTTCAGCTGCCCTGTTAGCCCTGATCTATTTGGCCTTGTGCCTCCAGAGTGGCTGCTCTAATTCAAGTCATCACGAAACCATTAGCCAAACACAAGCACGTGCATTTCACACAGTTTGAGCTCAGTTTAGCATTTTGCCTTTTGGCCCTCTGTGCTGTTGAGCAAACCTCATATTCAGTCTTTTGGTGGTGAAATAATGGATTGTGATATAACTAAATTGTTGTGTGTTTTTTCACATCAAGCCCAAGTTGGGAGACATTGAATCTATGTTATTTAAACATGAGCCCTGTCATCTTCTAAATTATATATCACAGTTTCTATGAAAGTGTGTGTTTGCATGTGTGTGCATAAATGTTTGTGTGTGTACCGATATCATTGTGAGGACCATTTTAAGGCAGAGACCAATTGAGGACATTTTGGGAAAGTGAAGATATGTTGTTTAGTCATCAAATTATGATCTGCACAACTATTTACCTAAAATATCCTGTGAACCTAATAGTTCACGTACTTGCTTAGGTACTAGACGTGTTACTGGAGGATTTCAGTAGAGGGCACAGAACTCAAGAGCACCCTGCTCTCTTTTACTTTACCCACTATGTGGGTAATACATACATTTCTGAGGACGTGCACAACTTACACTTCCATCAAACGGACGCAGAAGCAGCCTTCTTGCATACGCGTACATGTAGATAACAGCAATTATATTGTGGGCCCGTGACTTGTTTTTGGGATTAGAATTATGTTTCGGTTGGGGTTAGGACTAGGATTAGGGTTAGGTCTTAAAATGTGATGGTTAAGGTTAGGGTAAGGGGCTTGGGAATGCATTCCAACAATGACTGTCCTCACTAAAGGTTGAAGTACAAGGTTATGTGTGTTGATGTGCATATACTGTACACTTTGTGCCTGTTTGTCGTCATATGTTGCATTTTGCAGAACATGTGTTTGAAAGGCAGCAGCACCTGCATCCTGTCCATTAAACTGACAGAGAAACAATGTTTGAGAGGGAAAAGGAGAGGGTGCTACAGGAAGCAAACTTCCTGTGACATCATTAAGTTTCTTGACTTCCTGTTCCTGCAATGAGGTGGTGACCCAGCATGCAGTCTGAGGGGTAAATCCTGTGAGCTACTGGTCACTGATTGTAGCTGGGCAAGAATGGCACATCGGCACATAGTCTTGGACTCATTGTTTTTACATCTGCCTCTAAAACACACACATACACGCATGCATTTTATCTCGCTGTCAGGGCCCATAAGAGGTTTAGATTATGTTGGCAGAGTAGAAGAATCTCATCTTGCCTCATCTCTGAATCTTAACCTCAGCTTTTCCCGACTCCTCAATCTACTAAACGACTCCAGACTTGGCAGCAAAGCAGCCCCTCAGCCTGACAGCTCCACGTTCACATTCTTCATCTCCTGACTTTCATTCCTTCTCCTTTTTGAATTGCCCTCTTTCTATGTCTATTTGTCAATGTCCGTGTGTGTATTTATGTCAATGGCTCTCTATGGACACAGGGGTTTCTCAGAAATATTGTCCCGGCAATGATAGAAATGTGACTTTTGAATATGTAGCGTGTAATTAACTTAAAAAATAACCAGGGTCTGCGATCCTGTTTCTAGCTGGAATAAAGCAATAAATAATAATGGACTTGTGCATTCAGATGCTCTCTCTCATTGCCTCTGTTGTAACATATATTCCAGCTCTGCTTTGTGGAGTTTGGACTGAAGGCCTAATGAGAAACAGAGGAGACATACTTTGGGGAAAAGAAAAACTGCAGCCTGTCTGGAATGTTTTTACTTTTGGTGAACAGTAACCCTTCTAGCACACATTTAAATACATGTGAGTGCGGTTAGGAAAAAAAACTTCTACTGTTTGTCGCTGTTTCCGTTACGGCCTTTAAATAAGTTTTGTATTTAAGTCAGAGGGTGTTACAGGGTAGGACACCAGCGCTTGGTATTTAAACTATTTAAAATGTGCCATACGAAGATTTAATTTAAAAGTCAGATTGCAGTTATGCTCTACTCGAGGACTGCAAGCTCATTCAGTACAGTGTTATTAAGCAGGAGTGGCACTTCTTTTCCCACATTTTCCCTCAGAGGCAGCTCCTGCTTTTAGAAACATTTCCATTCAATGAAAATGACAGTGTTTCAAAACAATGAACTCGTTGCTAGGCAAATTCCTGAAAGACTGGGAATGGTGTTGGAAACAAGATGAATTGTCTCACAATGCTGATGCATTTTTTTTTTTTTACATCAAAACACAGGATTTTAAGTGTTTAAGTGAGAATTTATGAGGGAGAAGTGTTTTGCAGGGCAGCTCTAGAATGGGTGGAGGTGTTTACTCATGCTGGGTGAGGCTGCTGCTGCTGATGGTGATGATAACAGTGCTGCTAGTTGGTGTTTGGACTTACCTCCAGCTCGCTCTCCCAGCGGTTAATGTCATCTGTAGACTGGTTTAACTTCTCCAGTTCCCCCTGTTTACACACAACATGGCAACATGGAAAGGCCCAGAAAAGGGGGAGAGTTAGTTAGAAAGAGATTTTGGAGTCAAAACTGTGTGTGTGTGTGTGTGTGTGTGTGTGTGTGTGTGAGCAGCTCATTTACTGACTGTAATCACCGTGGACAGCTTCCATCATTTAATTTGCAATTTAAATTCTTTACTTACTTTAAATGGCATTGTCACTGCTGCAGGGTAATTTCATTTCGTATAGGACTACAGTAAACGTGGGCTTTAAAAAAACATGACCCCAAACTGTCCATCAATGTGATCCTTGTTTTCATTTTCTTTCCACATTTTCATTTCAATGTCACTTTCACATCTGGTCACATCTGGATCCGTTCAAAAGATCTCACCTGGATTCTCGGGTCTACTTCTTCTTCCTCCTCCGCACACTGCGACTCTTCCTCACAGTTACCGTCGTTTCGTAAAGGATCCATTTTCGGGGTTTCTGGAGAAAGGAAAAGGAGGGTCCTCTCTGCGAACAAAGCGCGACCCCCGGGTGCTGCGCTGGACAGCGGGGGGTGTCCACAAGTGATCCGCCCTCTCTAACCTTCACACCGGGCACATCGCATGCTCCAGGCTTTTAAAGGCGTTAGAGGTGCGCGTAAAGTGTGTGTGTGCCCAGGGGCAGCGCGTCAAGACGCACGGAGAAGTGACACCACACTGGGCACGACCAGGATCGGGTATGTACAGCAAACACATTGTGGAAAGGACATAAAGTTAATGTGATTATCAACACATGCACTTCTGGTTTGGACTTTCAAAATAAAATCCACATGGAAAAGAGCAGGAGCTTAATCATTCAAAATGTCAGCAGGCTATGTACAAACAGTATATAAAATGAAAGTTATGTATTTCTTTCCTTAAGAGGTCTAAAGAGTGTCCTCTTGTTTGGGTGAAATGATTAGTTGATCTATTGGTTTATGAAGAATCAAAAATGACAGAAGTATAAATAAATAGAATAAATGCAGTGAAGTAGACATATATAAATAAATTAATAAAAGATAGAATGTATAATTATTAATTTTGATAATTGCATAATTAATCGATGGAGTCTATAAGTGCAAAAAATGCACAGGTAGTTATTACTACCTATATGAATATTTGTGGGTCTCTGCCAATTCTTTATGATAGTAAAGCCAACATTATATAGATACACAAAAGCTACAAATATATGAATGGAAACGTAATCAATGTTGAAACTAGATCATCGTTGATGTGTCTTACTGACATTTACAAACTTTAATATGAACTGAAACAATGTAAAACTGTTATTTTAGAAGAATGCCTTTATTGTCACTATATAATATATACAATATATATTTTCTCGTTGTCTATAGGACTGGCAGCACATATCCGTCGTATGTCTGGACTTGACCTTACTTTATTTAAACTACATTCAAATAATGGCCTGTTGCTTTAACAGATTTAAGTTTTTAGGCCTTTTAATTTTCTGTAATTTACGCTTTTATTTTGACAGGACACACTTGCCTTTTTTGGAGCTGGTTATTTTCCTGCTTGACGCAGCTCCACATGGGATTGACAGTTGGTTTCCTTCGCCCCCTGGTGGTGAGGACGCAGGAGCACAGCGGGTTTGATAAGCATTATTGCACCACACACAGGCACACAGAGACACATAAACACACACATATTACTAACTGCAGTGAATAAAAAGTTGATCCCATTTGTCTGTGATGCCCATTTGTTCCAGGGGGGTAGACAGCACAGTCGCTCCTGCAGCTTCCCTTCATCATGAGGCGATGACACACAGGCTTCCTGGACACACCTGACACAACACACAGAGAAAAAGACTTCTCATAATATCCTGTAAATTCTCAGATAGTGGACGGAGCCACATTTTTGCTCAGCTGCGGAGAGGAGCCTTTATCATATCGGACACATGCCTTTATTTTGAAAGACAAACAAGTCGCAGTAAACTCTGCATCTGAATGAAAGGTCAACTGCTGTTTCTTATTTCAAGGATGAGGTCATCTCAAATAGTAACAGCTCCTTATATGCTCATATTGGTTCTGGGGGGATAGAATATATGAGTTGCAGATCTGTCAACTTCTGCCACATCTTGTCACACTGCACAACGGCATAGGCCGAGTATTGTTTAGACTCCTGTGTGTGTGTGTGTGTGTGTGTGTGTGTGTGTGTGTGTGTTTGTATGTGTTTGTGTGTGTTTGTGTGTGTTTCTTACACCTGGAAATATCAGCAGATTGAAAGCTGTTGTCTCAAATGCAGGAATAGAGATTATACATGCTTTTATTTCCACCTGTACTGTCTACTGCAATGAAGATGCAAATAGATATACAATATTTAATAAAAAATCCTGACTCTTACATCAGGCCCCTACATATCCAACCTATCTACTCCATCCTAATCCATGACAGATCCTACACACCTATCTAAAGACTTGTGGTGACAGGGATTTTTAGACAATAGGACCAAAGCTGTGGAATAAACTAAACATCTTTAAGGTTTTCTGACTGTGTGTATTCAAAAATCAGTTAAAAACATACCTCTTTAAAGAAGCATTCAGGTAATTTACTGTATGTGTACCAGGTCTGTCTCTCTATGTACTGCATGCTGGACCCTGTAACTCTGTTGTTAACTTTATTTATTCCCGCTGTAAACTTTACTTACTTATTTCAGCAAACACAGGGAATCATATACATGTAGATTTTCAGAATTACCCTGCAGTTTATTTATGCACCAATAAAAAAAAGAGCTGATTATTGCTCATATTCATGCTGATGATTGTAAGTATAGTGTTTGGTGAAACTATTATTTAATTAAAAAATGTTTTATTAGCAATACTATAAAATAGGCTACAAGACCATTATTGACCTTTAGAATATGAATCCTAGCATGAACTACAGTCAGAATTTGTGACCTTTGTGAATGATGTGGCTCAGATGATTGTACCTTATATCAAATTATTATAAATATCACTAGAAGTTGAGACCTTCCACCATATGATTATAGTGGGGAGGTGATTTGGCTGAACTGATAATTTAGTGATTCTTGTTGATGATAATAATTCAGGCCAGAAATTGCCTGCTTAGTTTATGGACACCTTGTGCTCTTACATTACATTACTGCTCACACCATATCAACTCTGACTGTTACCGGCCTATGCACATTATGTTTGGTTTTAGTTTTATTGAAGAATGGGTCAGTTTCTTCAGTATTATTTTAATTATTCTAATAATTTGTTATGTGCGCTTTACTTTTACCTTAATTCTTCTTTATCTATCTATCCATCTGTCTATCTATCTATTCATCTGTCTATGTATCTATCTATCTATCTGTCTATCTCTGTGATGGCTCCATATAAGTGTTTCCATGTTGCATAATGTCATGCCTCCCTCATGATGTCAGTTGCAGGTTCGGATGAAACACTCATTGAGGCTGCAGTGAGAAAGTTGCATGGGAGTAGGCCTGGTTATGGACGGCTGCCCGGCTCCTCTATTCGTCATCGCGTTTCATCCAGCGTCCTCCTGCGTATGCATGCATGCGACCGACGGGCTGATTTCATAACGTGGGGAGGAAGAGGAGAGGAATGGGGCTCTGAGAGCGGATGAGCAGCAGACCCGGTACAGGCTCCGTGCACCAGACCCGGTACAGGCTCCGTACAGCAGCGGTGTTCAGGCTCTCTTTGCTCCCGGGCCATGCAGACGGTGCGCTAGAGGAGATGCGTTAGTGGAGGCTGCTGCTGATGCTGCTGGAGCTGCTGCCGCTGTCCGATCAGCTCTTATCTGCGTCTTGAGCATCGTCGCCACAGCCACGGCCACAGAAATCGAGATCAAGCTCCGGAGCCAGGGCCACCGCAGCGCGGATCACCGCACAGGAGGATGGAGTTCAAGCATCTGGTGGAGGCGGCGGAGAAGTGGTGCTCCGGGAACCCGTTCGACCTCATCTTCGCCGAGGAGGACGACGAGAGGCGGCTGGACTTTTACGCAGAGCCCGGCGTCTCCTTCTACGTGCTGTGTCCCAGCGGCACCGACAGCTTCGTGAGTGTGCTTTTCTGCAGGGCCTCTGTGTGTGGGTGTGTGTGTGTGTGTGTGTGTGTGTGTGTGTGTGTGTGTGTGTGTGTGTGTGTGTCGAGGTGGGGTTTTCCCTGCTGGTTTTTCCTGCTGATGAGCTGATGGAGGAGGGGAGAGGAGGGGGGTCCTGGGCAGGAGTGGAGGCGATGATGTCATTTTAGTTTATGTGCCCCCCCCCCACATCTCCACATTCCTGTGTTGATGGTGTTTTGTCATCCATCATAATCCTCTGCGATAACCCTCTGACCCACAACACCACCATGCACAACACATCACACAAACACGAGGCCTTAAACTTTCAAAATAAAGGTCCCACAGACAATTATTCTGTCTAGAATAGAAGAAAAATATATTTGTATTGTTTAACTACTTGTTATTTTCCTCCATCAATAGTATTACTTTATGTTATCATATTAGTTTATTGCTATGAATGTTTGTTGCCTAAAAGTTCAAACTCAGATACACTGCTGCCCAGATACTTAATCCACTGACCTAAAAAATTCAAGAGGTGGATGTTGAAATAAGACAAGGTAAGATAAGATAAAATAAAATAAGATAAGAAAAGATAAGATTATATGAGATAAGACAAGGTAAAATAAGATAAGATAAGACAAGCCAATATAAGATAAGACAAGATAAAATAAAATAAAAAAAATAAGATAAGACAAGCCAATATAAGATAAGACAAGCCAATATAAGATAAGACAAGATAAAAAAAAAATAAATAAGATAAAATAAGATTAGATAGGATAAGATAGGATAGGTTACAATACAATATGATACGGTATGATAAGATAAGACAAGGTAAGATAAGTCAAGATTAGACAAGGTAAAACGAGATAAGATAAGACACAACAAGGTAATATAAGATAAGACCAGGTAAGATAAGATAAGATAAACCTTTTTGATCCCATGCCAGGGAATTTCACTTGTTACAGCCACAGATAGTCAGAATGAAGAAGACAAGAGAACCCTTGAAAGTATAAAATAGATAACTAAATTAAATGGAATTAAAATGCAGGGAGCATGTACATAATATTCACCTTTACAGATTCTATAATTCTGCCAGTTGATGATAAAGCTAAACCCAAGTTTCAATGTAATGTTTGCAGAGACACAAACAAACACTGGAAGTTTTTGGTTCTGCTGCTTTTATCTCCAGAGCAGCTTCAGTGCACCTTGGCATTGACTCTCCAAGTCTGTGTGAACACAATTCTTCAAAAGATATTGATGATATTGGTGGAGAGAGCTTTCAATGCAATACCTTAAGATCTGGTGGCTGTAAGGGCCAAATCAAATGCTCACATCATTTCATCATCGTGCCCATCAAACCATTCTGTGACCCCTTGTGCCCTATGGATGGGGTCGTTATCATTCTGTCATTTGTCATTTAGGATAGAAGTGTCTCAGACAAAGGTCAACTTTGCATTTTTTTCCATTTACCCTTTCCTCCAAGAGGACAGGTGGAAGCAAATCATGGAGGCCAAATGCCGCCCACTGCATAACAGAGCCACTGGAACCCCCCACTGTAGGGGATATGCCTTCAGGCCTGTAAGCTACACATGCACTTATCTCTGTAAACCAATGCCTGTGGTTTATATTATGCAGCTCTACTATAGAATCACTCTCTCTAATTATCAGTGAACCCCTCTTACTGACACAGTCTGATCACGTCCTGCAATGACATTGTCAGTCACCTGAGGACTAATCGCTCTCCTGTTGTTCCTTACATGTCGCATTAACACAATATCTGACACTTCATACTGACGACATAGATATGAATGCAAATGTCATTTTAGTCACGGCTCAGATTGTATCATCAGACAGTTGAGTCACTTGGATCTTTCCCCTCTGCCACCTTGACTCAGAATCAGAATCGGCTGGACACGCTCAGCATTTTAAAACATACCACAGAGTGTGACTTTATGCTAATTGCTTAACTGTACCATGCATAACTAGAATACCTAATGAATACCTCTGCCAAGGCCAAACAACCTCCATATGAAACCACATTTAAATCCACTGGATCCACATTTTTGGGGGGGATCTGCACCAAATTGCCCTCACTTATAAATATCAGGATCCATTAATCAAGATCCATGAATTATTCTCTAGTAATCGAGTAATCAAAGACAATGTTGAAATCTCTTAAAGTTAAACAAAGTGAAAACAAATCCTGGATCTGCACTCTTATCTGAATCCACACCAAAATGTAATGAGTTCTTTCTTGGGTCATGCTGCACCTCTCCTCAAAATGTCATGCAAATCTGTTGAGTCGTTTTTGCAAAATGCCGCTAACAAACCAGTGTGGTGCAGTTGTGGTGTTATGAGTCCTAAAAAAAACATCCTGCTCAGTGACAGGGGCACCAGGGCGGGGAGGAGCAGATGGAGATGACCCGAGAGCCAGGGCGTCTGTTCAGCCTGTAACACATGATATGTTACACCGACAGTGCCTGTGTTATGGGTTTGCAGGTTTGGCTTGAACTGTCCCACAGACAGAAGAGCAGGGCTGCTGAGGTACACGCACACACACACGCACGCACACACGCACACACGCACACACACACACACACACACACACACACACACTCTCTTCTTGAGATCTGGTTAATCTTGATCAAACAATATGGCCACAGCAGGACATCTCACATGCTGTCTCTCTCTCTCCCTCACTCACACACACGCACACACACACACACATGCGCACACATATCCCTACTCAGTTCATCTTGTTTTTCCCAGAACTGTGTACACCCAACGCATTAATCTGTCCGCTAGGGAGCGTTGTGAGACCAGGCAGACCATAATAACTGTGCAGCTGCACATCACAGAGCCGTCACCCCACCCCAGGGTATGTTTTAGCAGTTTTCTGTCATCCAGGTCATGTGAGACAGCATAGCAGAAAAACAAGAACAATTGGATTTGCTAGGTGGCCTCTGATCATCTGATTAGCTTTGCTGAAAGGTGGGGTGAGGCCTGCGCTGCGGTGACACGCCTTCATGTGAGAGTCCATCCATCAGTGACAAAGTGGAGCAAATATCCCTGAACAGTGGCCGCTGGAGAGAGAATGTCAACTTGTCTGCAACACAGTAGTTACATTTTAACCCCAGGCTGTTTCACGGGTTTCTGCACAACTCTCATGTGACTCGTTATGTCTTGAATGTTGTCTTCTCCACCATTCACCTTAAATTCCATTAATGAACTAAGTAAAAAAACTGTCGAAATTGCACAAAACCCATGAAAACCACACTTTCATTTGCCCATTAAAATCATGCTGATTTTATTTGAAGAAATCTTTTATAGTTTTCATGGTCTAATTTTTAAGGGTTTTTAACCGTGTATTCCCCTTAAAACCTGCATATACAGCAACACATTAAAATACATACATTTATTAAAAACCATTAATATTGTTATTGATTTACCCCGATTAATTTGTACCTGGACAAAATAAAAGGGTGCATGCAGTGTTATTTTGTACATTTGGATTTTCTACCACGACAAAATGTTTTACTGGTTCTTAAAATGCAGAAAGATTTAATTTACCCAAGTAATCCCAAATTTAATGCATAATATTTTAATACTGTATCAAATATTTAAACAAATGAAAATCATTCATTTTCACTTTACAATTAGATACTTGGTTTGACAGATGCTGGTTATTTGCTTCAGATCATTCTGTACACTGGGCCACACACCCTTAATAACCTAATACATAACCAAACAGCACGGCCTTTAGACTCCAATTAACCAACAATAAAACCAAGTGCTGTGAAATTGCTCCAATTGTGCAGTGTTTATCTAACACTTCCTGTAAGTTGCTTTGAAGTATATGTGAACTAATGAGGAAGTTAATTTTAATCCAACAAGCATTTTTATGTCTGATATCAAGAACGTATCATTACTTAAAGGTCCAGTGTGTCAGATTTAGCAAGGGATCTAATGGCAGACATGTAATATAAAATAACCCTAGAGATGTTTTCACTGGTGCGTTTCATCTAAATTGAACAAATTGTTGTTTTCTGTACCCTAGAATGGGACCTCTATATTTAAATACCTTATACATTGGGAGCGGGTCCTCTCTACGGAGGCAGCCATGTTTTTTACTGTCGTCAAACTAAACATCTTTGGAGTTTTTATACCAACTGAAGTCAACCACAGGTTCTCTTTCATGTTTGGAAGGGGAGGGTGAGGCGAGGGGTATTCAGCTGCAGCATGCAATGTCACCACTAGATGTCACTAAATTCTACTCACAGAACCTTTAATGCGGTTTTATTGGCGATAAGGATGCAAATGTTTTTCTGATCTGGCCTTCAGTGCCAGTGATTTTAAATTGAGCATATGCAGGCAGCCCTTGAGGTAAGAAGTGTCTTGTATAGGTACACAAGTGACATGACAAAAAGTCTCACAAAAGCCCTATAATGAAGAATTCATTCTCATTACATTTCTTTCATGAACCTCTAGTGCATTCACAGATGTGTGAGTAATGTTGAAGTAAACATGCATTTCTTGTAATTAACATTAAAGCATATGTGTGTATGGTTTATGTATGTAAAAAGTGTATTTATTTGCGTTGTTGCCTTCCAGCAAACAAGAGTATTTTGGGTTCTAACCCTGTGTGGTGATTCTCCTCGTGTCTGTGTGAACTCATAATCCAAATGCCCTCCCATACTCCAAAAACAGCAGGTTAATTGGATACTCTAAATTGCCCATGGGTGTGACTGTGGGTGGAATGATGTCTCTATGTGCCAATAACGGTTTTAGTAATTGGTGAAAAGATCTTATGTCCATGAGTGTTTTACTTGTTTCTAATACTGTATGTTTCAATGTAAATATTCTAGTGTTTGTGTATCTTGTTGCAAACCGTCACCATTGTTTGTTCTTGAGGAAATGTCTCTTTAGCAGACTTGTATGTTGTGAGTATGTTGTCATTCAGCTCAACATAGTTGCAGCGTTTCTTTTATCACTGCTGGACATTTGTGTGTGTTTCTAGCACGTGTGGAGCGAGAGTGAGGACTGCCTCCCCTTCCTGCAGCTAGCCCAGGACTACATCTCCTCCTGCGGGAAGAAGACTCTACTGGAGGTGCTGGAGAAGGTCTTCACGTCCTTCAGGCCCGTAAGGAACCAAACAAGCGGTGACACATCATCATCATTGACATCACCATCACTCCATCATCGCCAGCACAGTGACCTCTGCTCGCTGTGTCTCTGTCTTTTAAAATACTGATACAAAAGAAAAACATCAGGTCCAACTCCACTCTGAAATCTAATGTTATGATTCCATGTTTATCTTCTCACAAAGGACCTTTATTTTTTAGTTAAAGTTTATAGCTTTCATTCTATATGTTAATCTTTTAAGGGTTTTGCCCCAAAGACAATTCTACTAATCCATAGTCAAAGACAAACTTTGGATAGACACCAAAATTTGCAATAACTGATCCCAAATCTGGGAAAACCAATTTCATACATTCAGGATAGATAAATGTTGAGGAAATATTGTCAGTTTACACAAGATAATCTTTCAAAACTCGAATGTGAATCAAAAACACCACCACAAATATAGTATGGATGAGTCACCTATTTCAAATGAATGTATCATTTAAGGAGAAAGTCTCATATCCCTTAAATTCACTCAGTTTAAGGCTTTAATAAATTTCCCCTGGTCCAATTAAAAAGATATTTGCAACATGAATCAGATTAAAGGAATAATTCCACATTTAAGAATTGGGATTAGTTGCTGTCCAGCTAATTTCAGAGCTATTACCTCATGATAAATTAGCTCTGGGAAAAAAAACGTGTCCCTCCTCAAAAGATTCTGTATATTCACATGCAGAATCTTTTTATAGAGATCACTGTCATGCCTAAAGTTCAGATGAATATCACTGTCACGTCTGTGCTCTAGTTTAGCACTAAGGCTAGAGACAGTTAGCCTGGATCTGTGCTAAGGTCACGAAAGCTGTCTACCTGAAGTTTACTGATTAGCACATTATATCACACAGTAGGACAGTAACTGTCCGGGGTCACAGCTGTTTGTCTGACAACAAGACTCAACAAGAAGTTGACCTCACCCACATGAGAAACAGTCTCACCCATTATGTCACATAAAACCACATACAACCACACATGCAACTCTGGATTTGTGTCGCATCGCAGACAAGATTTAACATGTTAATTAATAGTAAGCAGATGAAATTCTCCTTGTTCCTGAAGTCTTCTCAGGATTGGAAAGAATACCACAAAATGATCGTCACCTCTTTGAGGCTGTTTTATTAGATGACTGACTTGGTGTGAAAAGAACTTTCGCACTCCATGCATATTTACTGTACATATAGTGTTATTAATCTTATTATATTCCTTAAGGATACAAATAGAGTTTCAGGAGTAAATCAAAAAAGAATCAAGGGTATTTTAAGGGATCGTTGTTTCTTAGTGTACTACATGTACAGTATGTTGAACTGAGATTAGGCCATTGGTCTTTGGTCATGTTCTAACTCCTGAGTACACGTTTGCTGATAAACAAGGCCTCATTAAATGGCCTTTGAACAAGACAGGAAAAACTGTATTTTTAACACAACCTTCAACAATCGTCCTTGTCTCTCTCTTTCTCTGCCAGCTACTGGGTCTTCCAGACTTAGAAGATGACAGTTTTGAGCATTACCACACTGACATGGAGGGGGAACCAGGGCCGGACCAACAGCAGATGGGGGTCAGCCAGCAGTGATGAGCCCCAAGAAGGGGGCCGTGCAGCTGCGGGTAGAGCTGCCTACAAGCCCTGGGCCTCTTATCCAAACACACATACACACACACAAACACGTAGTCAACTTGCTAATAATGCACCACCATGTTCTTGAATGTCTCAGTGGCTTTGCTTCCCAAAGAGTGCACACCGTTGCACTTTGTTGCCCCCTACTTAACACACACACTGGCTACGTGAGCTGTAGCCATGTACAATGCAAGAATCATAATCATTCACCATTTGGTTAGTTAAAGTTCCACAGCACAGCAATATTGGCCTTGGCCTTGGCTTTGTTATGCAGAAATGCAGTCAGATAAACACCCCCCCCGTGGCTCTGGAGATGAATGTGACAGATATGCTACTTTCTTTACCCGTCTATAGACATGGAGGCTGCATGAATGCCAGACGAAGCATACGCAGGTGACAACCGACAGTTCGCTGCTTCGTTTGGGGCAATGGGAGTGACGCAAGAAGGCGAGGAAGGAGGGAGGTATATCACAACAACAGAGGGGCAGAACTTTCCACTTCATGGAGGGAGAGACAGAGGGAACTGAGGAGTGAGGGTGCAGAGTTGTGACGTAGTTTTAGGTGAAGCTGCTCTCAGTCCCTTTTCAAAACCAATAGCTGGCTCCCCGTGTGCAGCTCTGCAGTAACATGGGTCACATTTTAGAGGCGTGTTTCTTCGTGTACGCGAGTGTAAAAGTCAGTCCATGGGGACGTTTTTAATCAGTGTTACTATCCTATGGCCATCACAACAAAGGCTCACGCTGAAGATGACACTTCCCTTGTTTGTCTCGCTGTCACATGACACCCTTAGTTCTGCTGTCCTGTCGTCTTCCTGCCCACTTTCTCTTCTGAGTGTGTTGTTTTGAATTGATCTGCGCTTTTCGAGGTTCCTCCTGATCGTGAATTTTGACGAGTGCACACCCACACACACCTCCCCCCAAGTGATATCTCAGGGGAAGGGAAAGCATTAGTGGTGACACCCCTCCCCCTGCCTGCCCTGTACTTTCTAAACTGACAGTGTGTTGTTGTACTTCACATTCAGTGCACTGCCACGCTTCAGGCCCCCTTCGCCCCCCCACCACTCCACCCACACTGCAAGACTGTATCATATTTATCCTGACCCGCTCACTTTGGCTTGTAAACGTTTTTGTCTTTTTATTGCCTCTTAGAATGTTTCTCATACAGTGTATCCTCTGTTTGGCCGCCGACGTGTGTGAAATTGTTCAATAAACCGTGTGAACAGAGCGTTCCTCAGGCATCTGTGTGTTTTATTTTTCTTTCTTAATGACCTGGAGTTAATGGAAACACAAGGCGTTCAACATGGAGGCCCTTTCATATCACACAGTGGACTGGTGACCTGCTGCTGTGCCAACAGCCCGCTGGTGTTCCTGGGGTTGACGTCACGGGCCACCTGACGCGCACACTCAAGGCTGCGTCAAGCTGGCGTCTGGGAAGCCCTGCGCAGGAACGCCTTCAAAGTAAAAGCACCAACAGTGTACGTCGTATAGCGTTCCAGTTTCCTCACTGACTGAAAGCAGATGCCATGACCTATGGCCATGACACATTAGTACAATTTGTACGACTTTGTTGCACTGTCCAAAAGTACATATTTGATAAGATTTACTGCGTATTTACCTATAATGCTACTTTACTGTAAAGTTGTGAAGTGTAAAGTAAATAATAATAATTCATTAAATAATAATCATCGTTATAAAAAACGTTTCGACACATAATGATTATTGATATACGACTAGCTTGTACAAAATTACTCATTTGATTTTAATGATTTGAAAATGTGCTACAATTAAGATTATAATTATATAAGCTTGTGCAAAACGACTCAAATAGTTGTATTATTATCATTATTATTATTAGAAGTAATAGTTATTATACTACATCATCATTTTATTGTATCTTTATCTATCTATCTATCTGTTTGAATCTACCTACGGGGATTAATAAAGTATTTCTGATATATCTATCTATCTATATATAGATATATTTATATATATAGAGAGAGAGAGAGGGAGATGAAAGAGAGATAGAGTCTTTTTTTATATGTGTACATTTTTAAAACTTGTATGTATATTTTGTGGTCAATAATAGCCACAGATAACACGTAAGGGTTTTTACTGGGTACTGGATGATTCTCAGCCTTTTACAGACAGAGCTCTTTGTTTTCTGACAGTGGAATACTTTTATTCTGAAGGCTGACCGATCTTGTTCTGGTGGACCGTGGTTGTTATGATGGAGCTGCCTCACACAAGGAGGAGGGCAGACTTTTATTTTTCTCCGCAGACGAGCACAGTTGAGCACAAAAACAAACTTGAACCAGACGAGCTGTGGGTCAACACACGCGCCTGTGTGCTCGCTTGAAGCAGTGACGCTGAAAACGTGAAGCTGAAGAGATTTCTTTTTCTTTTTGTTGGAAAAAAGGGGAAGGGCTCTGCCAAGAAAAAAAAACAACCATTTAGAAATTAAGTTGTCGGTCAGTGAGTGCGCATTTTACGCACAGGGCGCACCATGAAACTTTGAGATGTGCGGGCTCGCCTCTGTTGTTGTTGTTCGTGGTTCAGGTTTGACCTCCTGTGTTGGTGTCAGCTCTTCAGGACTCACTGAGACCATGTGTCGTGGTTAAGAAACTTAGACGCGCACTAAAAGCCAAGAGAAGGAACGCCTGAGGCAGCATGGGGGCCAAGCAGAGCAGCCCCGTAATCAATAGCAGAACTCGGGCTTATTCTAGCTCCGATCTCCCATCCAGCAACTCCAGCAGCGGGGATAGGATCGCGGGGTTCAGGTACATGACTGGACCCGATGGCCCCAGGATCCAGTACACTGGTGGAGGGCCCACCAGCTCCGGGCTCAGCATACCAGCCGGCGGCAGGTCGGGGTCGCACGTACTCAATCAGAGTCTGGATGGCACCGATGGGGACGATGAGGGCCAGCTGCCTCCCGAGGGCCACAGGCTGCTTATAGGCTCCTTACCGGCTCACCTGTCCCCTCACCTGTTGGGAGGTAAGACTCGATGCAAATTCAGAATATGCACAAATTCATGCATACAACTCACGACCGTTGTGATATTCTTGTTAATATGCCACATTTAATGTCCCTGGGGTGCACTCACAGTGAGTAGAGTTTTATTCTGTCTCCACAAGTATGAATACTGACTTCATTTCTTGCTCTTATCTCAAATAACTCCTATTTGTACTGTGTCATGTGGGAGAGCTGTAATTCCAGGTCTTTATTCTGTCAGAGTGGACATGTTTCTTCATGTTTGCTTCCATATGTTTACGGCACTCCTACACGATACCATAAAATCTACACTTGGTACGGTCTGCTTGGTGTTTTTCCATGACACATGATATCTGGAATATTGTAATAGCTGTGCGATGACTGAGCCCTTTGTTTTTGCACTTTTACTTTTATTGTAGCCACAGGTGGCTGTACTGTACTGCGCTGCTTTTTATGCAGTCTTTATTCTACTTCTTCTTTGTCTTGTAAACTGGTCTGTTTTTCAATCCAGCTGTGAGAGAAGAGTGCATAATGTAGGTCAGCAGATAAGAGCTTCCTGCTGGTTACACATTGCCTGACACACACACGTCTGCACACACACATGCACTCAAACTTCCTGAACCCACAACTCTAGCAGTTTCACAACTGGTGTGTCGTCTCTAGACCAGACCACAACAATACACGGCTCAAATGAACACAACAGGAACGTTAGACCCATCTAACGTTCCTCATTCCTGACAGACGAAAGCTCCAGGACTAAAGACCTATAGTGTAATTATGTTTTCCTGTATACTTATACTTACTCGCTGTTGGGTCTCTTGGAAATAACACAGTTTCCTCATCTCACATCTTAATATGCTCAACAAGGATGCAGCTAAATTTAATTCCCAGCTTCTTCAGTTTATCAGCATCGGCAACTTCCTCAATGAGGATGACTCATCGTTACTAATCTCATCAAGAACCTTTGCTCATTAGATCCATGTGATTTGGACTGGAGGGGCCTGACATTATGTCCACAGGCTCCTTCCATTTTCTCACCTCCCCCGTGCAAACACATGATAAAAACATGAGTTTCACAGCAGTCACAGAGATAATGACTGCCTGCATCCAGGACACATTTGTTGTCTTTTTCCTGGCTGCGGTGTTATAACATTAAACAGGGGGTTAGCTTATCTGAAGTCAAGCATCTCCTGGCCTATTAATCTTTGTGCAGCTGAGGCGTGAGCAGGGTTGGGCAGGCTTTCTACTGTATATGTGGGTCAAATTAGGAATTATTAATGTTAAACATTATCTAAGATATTAATTCACAAACACTGTGCAATAAATATGAAGCCACTTCAGCTTGACAGTAAGATTGTAATGAGTAATGATCCCAAAAGATTGTTTGATTAGGTAAGCAGATTGTTACAGATTGTTTATAACAGATAGAGGGAGCATGCAGGTGTTGTCTTAAAGATCCAGCTCATGCAGACAGTCCCACGCCCTCTCCTGTGTACATATCAATAAAAGGTTATGAGACAGACGTTGGCACATCTGGGTCCTCATGTTCTTGTCTTTGTGTTGTTTTTTTTTCCTGCCAGGCTTCCACTGCCCCGTCTGCTCCAAGTTTATGGAGTCGAATGAAATAGAGAAGCACCTGCTCATGTGTTTCAGCAAAACGCGCCTGGCCTACAACAGTAAGTGATCAGGTCTGAAAGAGCAGGAAGGCATGGGTGATACTGAGAGCGGAAGCAGATGGTGTTTGTTTGTAGCCACATAAACCTATTACATTCCTTCATTCCTAAGTTTACTGGTTAATTTTTGCTTAAAAATAGACAACATGTGAAACTGGACAATGACAATGCTAAGAAAGCTAAGATCAGACTATAATTTCCACTGGGGAAGAAGCAACATTAGCAACACAGCAAGATTCTCCATTAAAGCTCGGGTTGGCAATCCTGGAAAAGCTACAAGAGCAAGGTACAATTTGAAAAACACAACCAACATATCCCACCCCTTCCCATTAGGTTTATATTTACAACACCCATGTATAATTTACTACATTAATTTGAACACTGCTTTTTAACAATGTGCATGATACAGAATTTATTGTAGTTATTTATTCATTGTTTTTTAGGTAATTCACTAATAACACATCCTTTTCTATAATTATATATAATCATCATAGTTTTTTTAATCTTAATCTGAAAGGTAGCTTTTAACTTCAGTTGTCAGATAAATGTAATGGAGTAGAAGAAACACTGCTTGCCTCTGTGAATGTAATGGAGTGGAAGAATAAGGACATACTGGTTGTGTAGTAATCAAGTACAAGTACTAAAATGTTCTGTACTTGTCAAAATACCATGCCATATTGTTTTTATATTTGGTTGTAATTATGAATTAATTTTTATTTTGTATCAATTAATTTTGGGATTGGCTTTTGTGAAAAGTCAATATGAAGAAATGCACCTGCTTGAGGATTGTATACAAAACAGCATGAAAAGAAAGCAAATGCAGCCATGTGATGCAGCTGCACAGCCCTGCAGACTGTGTGTACACCTGTACTGTGCACACCCACATGTGCACACACAGGAAAGACAAACACATCTTGTCTGTAGGCATATAGTTATTTCTACATGCACTTTCTGCATGTGGATACTTCCTGACCTCTACTTTTTTTAATGTATAAAAACAAGAGTAGATTTTTGTTCCCATTTTAAGTGTTGATTCATGTGCAGAGACGTGCACATACACACATGCACACGCACAGCTTTCAGCTCACACCAACCCACAGCAGCATGCATTTTGCTGATCGACACCGAATATATACATGCAGCTGGTGTCTTCGCTTATCACGTGCAAACAGATGTGCCAAACGTATACAACCGTGGCTTTATCCTTCAACTACAGATATTTTCAGAGTACATTTTTCCTCCTTGACAGAATTCATTTCAAAAAGGAATCATAAAGTCTTAGTGAGTCAATCGCCTCAGGTGTTGACAGAAGGGCCAGTGACAGAACATGCAGATTAACATGTGACATTGAAAGGAAAACTTTGAGCAAATGTTCTCGGTTCTTATCTGATCAGAGGTGAAGATTTGAAACATCTGTGCCCAGATGAGAGCTGACATTCTGGTACCAAATACTAAACTGGTGGTTAGGCAGGATTCAGTGCCTGGACTGAGCCTCTGATACGGGGTTTGGTGTGCGAGACAGCTTCTTGCTCAGTTTGTCTCTGTATTGTTTTTCTCAGAGGACATCCTGTCCAGAGACTCTGGGGAATGTGCCATCTGTTTAGAAGAGCTGGAGCAGGGAGACACCATTGCCAGACTGCCCTGCCTCTGTATCTACCATAAAGGGTAACAAACACACACACACAAAGTGCATGAGTAAACACATTTAATCATCTCATTAAAATCTTGGCAAGAAAGCAAATAATAGCATATTTCCAAAATCACATTAAACTAGAACATTACTAGAACTATTAATTCTACAATGCATTGTATGGGGGTTTAGTTGAAATTCTACTCAACGTGCTGACCTGTTTGTCTCCCAGCAAACAAAGGATGAAATCTTTTTTTTACAGAAATCACAAAAATATGAATAAACCAAATGAACAGGTCTTAGATAATAGTAAGAAGAAGGCTTCTCTGGACACATGGTGAATGGAGGGACACAAATCCAGTGGGTTGATTGT